CTAAATCCAAAGACTGGTATCCTTACTTATAAGAAGAGGAGAGAATACACAGGATCAGAGGGAAGGTCATGTGAAGACGAAGGCAGGTATTGGAGTGGTGTTGCTACAAGCCAAGAAATGCCAAGGATTGCCAGGAACCACCAGAGGCTAAAAGAGACAAGGAAGAGTCCTCCACTAGAGACTTCAGAAAGAGTGTGGTCTTGCCAACACCTTGATTTTACACTTCCTAGCATCTCAAGTTGTGAGAGAATAGATTTCCGCTCTTTTAAGCCACCCAGTTTGTGTTAATCTTTTACAACAGCCCTAGGAAATGCACATACTACCCTATTGGAACTTAATGCACCACCCTAAACAAAAGTTTTTCCTCTGTGTATCCCATCTATCCTTTTTCAAAGTAGGCTATAAGTGTAAATATTCTCTTAAGGTGGATCTTTGGGTTTTCAGGTTTACCAGACGATGTTGTGATCTGATACTCACTAGCTATAATGCCTCTAGCAGTTTTTTTTTCTGTAAAATGCAGAGAATAATACCTGTTTCCTTCATAAAGTGTTATTTTTAAAAGATGAGTTAGTATGTGCAAAAGTACTATTTATACTAGAAAATACTATGTAAATGCACATTTGATTATTATTATTGCAACTTTGTAAATAGTAAATCCAGTAAAGAACAGGATGAGCAGCCATGTAAATTGTTTTGGCTGCTGTGAAGAGAACCCAAGTTGTAAAAGTGGAGGCAGGCAGGACCATTAGGAGGTTTCTAGGATAATAGGATGGTGGCTTGGACAAAAATGGCCTTGGGGTACTGGTGTAGATAGACCTAGACACATCTGAAGGGACATCTATCTCATGGATAGATGAGATATTTGGCTGAGGGAAGAAGAAAAGAGCTCAGATAACCTGATTCTTTTCATCATAAACAGCTCTGATTGAAAGCAGCCCCACTAGTACACCAAATTCTACAAATCACTGTTGTTCAAATATCTCTGTCCCACTGGAGTAAATCTGCATTTTCTACTGGAAGACAGAGACCAGTGTAGTTGAGCTCAGTTGTCTCATTTCAGCTGCTCAGAACACAAATTTCTTTAAAGGTACACAAAGAAAGGAATTGTCTGTGAGCCCCTGCTCTTTTTAGGGCCATGAATGGCTTTGCCTCTATCTAAATCCACTAAGGAAGGCTTAAAGGCATTTATCCTATCCCTGATTCTGGTATAGGATAAGAGAATTTGGATTATTACATTTTTCTGTGTCTGTCATCTGAGAAATGGGGATATTAATGCTCACCCTGCAGAGGTTATCTGACATTAAATGGAATAATACATGGCTTGGCAACTAGCTGAACTTCAGTAAAAACTAACAATGGTAGTGATGGTGATCAGTGTCTCAGGAGATTAGAGGTGGGAGAAATGGACCCAATCTCACCAGCTTGGGATCATCTCATTCCATCTAAGTCTTTCCACTACCGAAAACTCTTATTATGACTCAAACCTGGGTCTATAAAGGAATATCCTGGGATCTGAAAAGCAATATTGGTTCTTCCACAGCACCAGCTCAGGCTGACCAGGTAACCTCTTGGTGTCACTGTCTTACTTATTCCTAGTTCTTTTGTGAGGTATAGGAATAATTTTTGAAACAGTAGCAAGAAAAAAAGTTTCCAATAAAATAATGAGCCTTTCTTATTTTGAGCTTTCCTTTGATGCTTGCCACCTCCCTCCCATTATGGTTCTTTGTCCACCATTGAAAAGGCCAGTGTCCTCAATTTGTGCCCAGCTGGAAAGAGACCATTGAGCTGAAGAGTGCAAAGAAGCAAAGAAATCACACTGAGATGATATTTTCCTTTATGAGACACTTCAACAATCATAACAGAGAATGTCTTATGAGCTGACCATCAGTTTTAAACATGAAAAATATTTCCTGGCTTTGGGGCAGTCATTATGCCCCTATATTTTAGATGTCACTAACAAAGCAAGTGGGAGGTTTGTCTTATATAAATAACATACTTAAAATAAGGAGCAAAAGAAAAAGATAAAAATCACTGCTTCCTAAGCCCTGATATATACCGAGTCCAGCACATTTGGCAAGAGGGTTGCATTCTTGATCCTGAGGCATTACTCCTATGACCCCTCTCCAGTTCATTCTATTTTCTCATAATGTCTCTCTATTTTTGTATGATTTTGATATCTTCTTTCATGTTTTTAATCACTCTAAGCACACTTACTCTGCAGTCTCCACCAGATTGCTCTATCATCTGAAATTCTCAGAGCTCTAAATTGGCTGTTTTCCTTTGTCTGCTACTCTCACGCATGGTTTCTAGTTTTGTAACGTGGCTATATCTTCAGCAGAGTTTTCTCTGTGAAAATCCCAGGTGACCGATATGAAGCTGTGGCCCTCCAGAGTATTTTGGGGTTTGCTTCTGCCAAACACTATGGGGATGTTACTAGCCTGAGACCAAGTTTGATTTTAATTTTTCAGCTTAGAGGTCCCTGAACTTGATGAATAGTAAAGATAGATCCTCAAACCTGTAAGAAATAGTTACAAATTCTCAGTGGAGACTTTTTCTCACCCATGGGGCAGGAGAAGTCAAGCATCCTTGGAACAACAGATGGTTGTGTTTTTTTCCCCCTAAGCCATCCTTTTAAGGGTCCTGGTTTTATGTGGGGATATCAGTTCCAACTTCCTAACTTGCATGGGGCCCTATCCCCACATGAATGTTAAAAGCTAATCCCTGCAGTCACTGAGACTGGGCAGTACTCCTCAAGGCCGATTCATGTTCCATGGCTTACTACTCTTATTTCAGTTCCCTCTTTGTACCTGGCATTTCGGGATTTGTATCCTTGAAAACTTAGCCATTTATTTAAAAGAACATGTGTTCTACTTTATTTGGAATATCTTAACATTTTTGATGAGAAGAGCATTTCTGTTCTACCATATGGCTGGAAGTTGAAATACCAATTCATTCTTCATACTGCAGCCAGAGAGAACTTTTCATACAACATATAAATATGATTTTGTTATCAGTCTTACTTAAAACACTGGAGTGGCTTCCCAATGATCTGAGGATGGAAACTAAAATCCATAATCTGCAAGGCCCTGAATGAACCTTACCTACTTCCCCATCCTCATGTTGCACCATTTCCCTTCTCATCTCTGTGTTCTACTCACATGAGGGTTCTTTCAGTTCCTAGAATATACCTCAGTCCTTCTTACCATAGCAACTTTGCTAGTTCTGTTCCCTATTTCTGGAATACCCTCATGCCTTCCCAGTTCACTTATGCTTCAGATCTCAACGTAATTGTGCAATGGCAGTCGTCTAGGTAACTTTCCTCTGATATATGTGTATATTGGCTCAGATACCCTCTCCCTATTATACTTATCACCATTGTGCTTTTACATTTATTTTTGAAATTATTTTTTTTAATATTTCTCTCACCTCCTGCACTGCAAGCTCTGTGAAGGCAGGTGCTGTGTCTATTCTTGTTTAACATTTTTATTAGTACGAGTAACACTAACTGCTACATTGGTGTTAACACAAAAACATCCTCTGTAACTTAACACCATAAAGATTTATTCTTCATATCATAGTCCAGTATGGGTCAGGCAACTCTTTTCCAACTGGATCCCAGAGACCTAGGTTGCACCACCGTCTTCAACATATTGCCTTCTAGGTTGCAGTGGAAGAAAAAGAGAACAAAGAATACGGTGGAAGGTTTTTATGAGCCAGACCAGGCATACCTCACTTCCACCCACATTCTCTTGGCCAAAACTCAGTCACAACGCCCTATAAATTGCCCAGGAAGATGAAGAGAAAATGGTTATCAGCAAGCACTCAAGTCTCTGCCACCCCATTGTATTTTTAGCAACGAGCAGTCCCATACAATAGGAAGTTCTCAACAAATGCAGATTGAATGAATCAGCAAATGGATAGATGGACAGATGGAGAATGGATGGATAGTTTTGTTGTCAATGGGTAGCTCATTGATTCAGCTATTCTTTAAGTTCTTTGAGTATAGAGACCATATCTGCATCGCCCATCATGGGAGAAAAGTTTGGGGCACATAGTAGAAACTCACACAAGAATAAATGATCACCACTACTCGGAAGATTTCAGGGAGATAAACTGCTAGTATATCATCAAAGGAGGGTAAAGAATGAAACTGGAAAAGCAATTTAAGAAGTGAATTTGTGAAAGCATGGAATGGATGAGGGAAAAAAGTAGAAGAAATGGTGAAGAAATGTTAGTATGTGTATAGTTAAGAGTAACAAGGAAAGGAATCAATGGAGATTGGAGAAACTAGCAGGGATAATGCCTCCCCTGGCTAGTGTAGCAAAACACTGTGTCTGCCGAATCCCAAACCCCATTGTTTTCTCTTTTGATGTATTATAGACTTACTCCTAGGAATAAGGATGCCTCTTTAGTGAGATAGCACCTTTTCCCTTCCCATTTTGACCCTTAGTGTTTACAATGCATAAAATGTGCCCAGGAAGTATGTATTTGGCCTGGCCAGAAGTTAGTACTACAGAAGGCATTTTGCCCCTGACCATGCAAAATGGTAAACCACACTAGTTCCAGCCCCAGCTGTCAGGCCAGGATTTCTCCCTAGCCCTTCTCCAATCAATACATAGAGCTGCCTGGTGCCATCGGGAGGGAGCTGTATTTAAAAAAATGAATGAAGTAAAACAGCCAAAATCTTTCTGTTCTTTACACTCTTCTCTGCAGCTTTCTGCTCCTGGAGAGGGACCACCATGAGAGCTGCAGATGAGCAGCATGAGGATGCCATCCTCCCCTGCCCCAGAAAGGGTCAGGGTTACAAAAGTAGCCAGCCCTATATTACGGGCTTCTGAAATGCACTGTCGGAGTTAGTGACAGGGGAGCTGCTCTACATCTGGGGCTACAGCAGTGCAGTGAGCTTTAGTGGATCAATACTTTAGTCTTGTCATGCTAATTGCTCATTGGTTGACATTCATGATCCTTCCTTGCTCCCTCCCTATGTAAACTCTTTACAGCTGGAACAGCGAGATGCAAAATCCTGAACCTTCAAAGCCAGCTCCTGCAGAAGAGAGAGGGCCTGGCAGCTGAGGTATGGTGCTCCCTCATTTTTTGCCCCCCTTTAAAAAGCTTCATGTGTGTCTGCATGTGGTCGTGTGATAGGGAGCCGCACGAAGAAATGCCTGGGGTAACTCTCTGCAACACATAAATGGTATTACCTTTTCAGAACAAAACCATCTCTCCTCCCCTTCCACTCCTCCCCTCCCCCCTAAAAAAACCCAGAAAACAGAAAAATACCCGCCCCTTTCTATGAGTTTGGTTGCAACCATTCTTCTGCTTTGGTGTATGTGTCACCCTCCACCAGCTCACAATGAACGTGTACCTGCACAGTCCTCTTTGCTCCCTGACTAGGGCATGTCAGACTGAGCTGCCATGTGTGTGTGCTTGTGCATGTGTGTGTGTTTGTATGTGTGATCACGCCTACCATATTGGCTTCCTGTCCCTGGGACATCAGCTTTTCGAGCTAGCTGAGCCTGTCCCCACAACCACTGTTGCCACTGAGACCACCCCAACTCCTACCCGGTGAGCTTCAGGCCTGTGCTATGCAGTGTTTTGTTAAGCCGTTTAGTATTAATTGATTTTTTTTCCATTTTTTTCTTTCTTTCCCTGGGCGGGTCAATAGCTGGATGCTTCAGGAGCAGAGGATCTATCAACTGCAGACCAAGCATAGGGAGACGCAGGCAGACCTGGAACAGAAACCCAGCCAGCTCCAGCCGCTCCGACAGTACTTGGTGGCCAGAGAGTCGGCAGCAGGAAGCATGAGGCAGGAAATTACCCAATCCTTGAGGTCTGGTAAGTTTCCTCACTTTTGGGAAGTGAGGCAAATGATAACCAAGTCTTTCGTTCCTTTCTCAAAAGAGTCCACAGCATTTTTGCTGATTTCAGTTAATGAGCTAAAGATCAAAATTGGGATGCCCTCAGCAGACCTGGGAGGATGGAGGGGTTGTGAGGGAGCTTGCGGGATAGGTGAGGGCTAACCAAACTCCAGTCCTAAGGAGAGCCACTGCAGCCAAGCAGATGACCTGGGTATTGATCCCTGCCTCCTGATATTGATTTCCTCTTGGGGCCAAGAATGGGGTGGACCTACAGAGGACAGGAGGAGAACCGACACCCTCCCAGAGGGCCAGGCAGCCCTAATTGGTGATAACAATGTTAAGTGGTCAGCCTGGAGATGAGGTTTGCTCACATCTATTGATCTGCACTCCCCTGGGATATAAATCCTTCTGAATTTGCTTCCATGATATAAATATTTATAATTAAAATAGCCTAGGAGCCTCTTCCAGGCACAGGGAGAGTGGCCCATCCCAGGGTAGGTGTGATATCAGTCTCTGCCATCTCCGTACTTTGTACGCTCTTCCCACTCTCGCATCTGTTTATTCACCTCTGCTTTCTCTTCTGAACCCTATTTTGCTCACCCTCTGAGTGACAGGCACAATGTCTCAGACTATCAGAAGCCAGGAAAAATCTATTCTTTCTGAATGCAGCCTCCAGCTGAGGAGGGAGTGCTGCTCCCCGCAGCCAACACTAGACAGTTTCATGTGCATTCAGGAGCCTGGATTCAGAAAGGAATGGGCTGTTTGGCGGCGGGGGGGTGTAAGGGGAAGACTTCTTTAGTTGTTGCTTTGTTCTTGCTTTCATTGGGGCATCAGATTGGATCCAGTAACAAACAGCTTTTTAACACAAATGTGTTAACCAATGCCAGGATTCTGTGTTGGCTCACTTGCAGTTAAATCTAGAAGAAAAATTTGAAGGCCCTCACACTCCTATTTCTCAGGACCTCATAAATGTAAGCTCACATGAAGTGACCAGAGCATCCCTTACCCAAGAGAATGGGGGGAAAGGATGCTGAGGACTTATTTGGAGGCAGAGCCCTTGAAACCAAGTGGAAACACCAAGACCATTGACCAAAGTTTTGTCTACTGCAAGGACAACCTTATAAAGAATTGAAACCATTTGACTTTAGTTTTTTAAAATTTGAGTAGTATAGAGAATGGTTTTCGAAGTCATTTACTGTGCTTCCTAAACCTACCATTGGCTTTAGTGTCCAGGATACAAATCTGTTCACCCTCAATCCATCGTTTCTTTGATATCCAGGATACAATCTTTTCAGTTCTGGAACTTCTAACTTTTTATCAGGTGTCTGCCTTGCTTCAGTGCTTATATCTTGAACTGTGTATCTTTGTGTGTCTGCCCTCAGCAGATTTCATTAATTTGTAATTGATGCCTACAAAACTGTTTAAGGACTTCAGGATCTTATTCTTGTTGAGGAGGTGTGTTGGTGGGTGTGTATGCACTGTGTAGGATGCGAGGAGAATTCACTGGGTTTTACGTCTCCTCATTTCAGAATATTTAGTCACTCTAGTCCATTTGTGTGAGTCAGTAAGTGTATGTCTGTGCATCTCTGTGCAGCTGTCTGTACTTGGGAAGCAATGAACGTAAGCAGGTTAGAGTGGTGCCCCATGTTTCTCTTGCATTTGCATCAACTGTGTCTTTCCCAGATGCATATTAAGCTTTGCTCTTTTTTTTCTTTTTGTTCAGAAATGGTAGTTTCAGAACTCAAATCTAGCTCATTTGTCTCTTTTAGCAAATGATTGAGGGTTAAGGACTATTCCAGTTGGCAGGCAAGGGTCCGTATTTTAGACTCCATTTGGCTTAGATCATTTACACAGAATAAAAGTCTAACAGGTATAATCGCAACAGGCTTGACTTGAGAATGTTTCTAAGCATACTTGAGGTTGAAAAATACTTCAAGCTAAAAATGGAATAATGTTCTGTTTAGTAACTTGTATGGCTCTGTGGTAATGGAGAGAATTGGAATGCAGTTCTCTTTGTTTGATTTATATGGCGACACTCAGAATGTGAAAGGTGTATTTTACTGTAGAAATAAAGTTTCCACCTTGACCTAAAGAATAGAAGACTCAGGTCAGTACTTAAATCCTTCTCTGCTAGGTTATAACGAAAAGCATAATTAATAACTAGATTTTTTTTGGAAGAAAAATCCTAAGATTCGTGTCTTTCTCCCATTGTTTGCAATATTTGTCAACATGTGCTTACATGATTCCTGTGAAGAACAAGCTTATTTGGAGAAAGTGATCTAAATTTTAGAACTGAACTCACTCCACTAATTAAATGTGTTTCTGTGTGAACTTAGTGCCACTAAATCTAAAAAGCACATACATAAATTCATTGCTGTCTTGTGCTACTGTTCCTACAGGTCATATTTGAAAGCTTGTTACCAGCCATAGGGAAATAATTATTATGATGGAATAACCCAGTGGCTTAGGATGGCAAGCTTCAGTGTCTTCAGTCTTATAAGAATTTAACTCCTATGTTATAGATATATGTTATGTGCTACATCTGCCTTTTATATTTTATACATATATGGTTTTCAATCCCATTTGTCTAAAAGGTTCTATATTCAGTATATTTTTAATGCAAGGATAGAAACATTTCACTCTTGTTTCTATATTCATAACATAAAATATAATGATACTGATATTTCACTATTATTTCTATAGAAAAATATATGTATTATGTTTCAAGCCTTTTTGAGCATCTTGACATACTCATTTGACCCCTTAGAGCAAACTTATGAGATAAGTTAGAGCAAAGTCATTACCTCCATTTTACCAATAATAAACATGAACAAGGTGACACAGATATGAATATCAGACTTGGGCTAATGACCTGGGGGTATGGACCCCTGGTCAAGTGCTCTTTCCTAAGTTACCAGCTGCCTCCATTAATATTTGATAAAATTTTAGCATATTCTGTACCAGCACCTATCACAACCATTGAAATGCATATAAGGCAAACGTTGGTTGAAAATAAATGATCGTTAGCATTCTGCTCATGCAAGAAAAGGTAGTAAATAAGTATTTCAGGCATCTTTCTTTGGCCTTTATCACACCACTACTGGCTACAGAGTCTGACGCCATGATAGACCTTTCTTGTTAGACTCAGAAATTCTGTGAGTTATTAATATACCTAATCAATAGTTTTGCTCCCCAGGAATATGTCCCTATGAAAATACAGTGAGTATATATTACTCAGTTCACAGAACTGACATGCACATATTTAGTCTTCATACCACCAACATTTGCTTTTAAAGAAACATTATGTATCATTTGAAATATCAAAATAAAACACTTAAAATCAACCATAAACTTCTTTCTCTTCCTGAAATAACCACTGTCCCTTTCCCCAAACTTGTTACTTATTCAGGGGTTCTGTGTCATGGACCCTATTTCCAGACTGCCGTAGCCCTGAAGCCTATGAACCTCTTCTCAAAATAATACTTTTAAACGTATGAAATAAAATGTATAGAATTACAAAGGAAACCAATTTATATTGAGATTGAGTTATCAAAAGATTAAAATCATTTAAACATTAAAAACAATTTCTGATATGATAATACGTATACTTTTTATTAAAATATTGATATGGTCCACTGGTAGATCTATTACTATAATTTTGGGGTGAATAAGATCCATTGGAGGATCTACTGCTATAATTTTAAGGTAGTGATGAACATTAGGGATATTTTGAAATTACCTACAATATGTGATACGGATATGATATGAAAATAGCTGTGAATTTTGTTGATGACATTGTCACTGCTACCATTAATATTACTGTGGTTTGTTTCCTACAGTTATAATTGAAGGAAATGCTAAATGTGGTTCAATATTAGTGAAAATAGGTGTGTGATTTTTTTTTTTTGTCCCATCCAAGTTTATAGACCCACTGAACTCTATCCATGGATATATTAGGAATGAGTGGATGCCAGGTTAAGAACCCCTGCTTTAGCTACTTCCTACTCATTTTTCAAAATTCAACTGAAGCATCATCTCTTCTAAACAATTTCACCAGCCTTCCCCCAGGAGGAATAAACTGCCACTTTTCTGTGCTTTAAGTGCACCCACAACCTCTCTAACACTTAGCACACCACAGGATTCACATCAATTTACTTGCCTGTCCCTCCTAAAGAGTGCACGTTCCTGAGGGCATGGCCCATGGCTTTTTTCCACCACCTACCACGATGTGTGGCACATAGCAGGGGTGCAGTAGATATTAAAAAGGAGGAGGAAGGAAAATTCAAAGACAAGGAGCCATATATCACAGAAAATTAAAATTAATAGAAAATTAAAGTCAGTAGGTTGAATGTTTACTTGAGTCAGATTTTCTGTCAGTGGCACCTTCATATCCCAGGCAGTAAAGATGGCCACAGGGACACTGTTCTACTTCCCTTTTAGTGCAACTCTCAATTTATAGCTTCTTAAAAAATAATAATCCTATATTAAGGATATAATAATGATAATATCCTAGTTTCAGACCCAGTTTTTAGGTTTTTGTTAGTACAGACAAGGGAAAGTCAGGATGGGCATGGAGATAGAGGGCTTTCTTCACATCCTGAGATTTTCAGGCTTTCTCAAATTTAAAAAGCCAGGGAAAATATTTTTTATTTTAAGGCACAGATGTAAATTTGTAAATTCCCCCTAAAACTCTATGTATTTGAAAATGATTATGAAAATTTCCTTGAAAACTAGAGCATTAGTAATAAAAGCCTCTTAAGTCCTCAATACAAATGCTTTGTGTAGAATAAGCATAGATGCTTATACATAGTAAGGTACTTTCAGACATGCACTCAACTTCTTAATATTAATGTCACATAAAAATCAGAATTTATTCATGCATATTGACATGATTTTGTATGCACCTCTTGCTTCCCAGTAATAAATACTTGCTATTTCTACCCAAATG